CGAAGCCTCTCGAGTCACTCAGTGTTCCTTATTCCTTGGGGTACCTCTGCAAACAAATGACACCAAAGAAAAAGTATCTCATATCACCAGGGTAGAAAGCAAGAGTATCTCATATCATGCGTTTTCCCTGTCCTTTCATTTGTCCTTGTTCTTACCTGCAAAGACAATGATAAAGAAAGTAATATGCCGGAACCTCCACTCAAAACTCGGGTAAGGAACCGACTGCTTGGAACCCTTCCTTGATTGCCTACCTAGCACTACTCTCGAGTACTCGTCTTCCACTGCTGTTGTACTCCCAAAGAAGCTGCCACATCTGCCTGCATAACAAATAAGGCAAGTGAAAATGATACCTTGCAGCATGTGGAGACAACGTGCAAAAGAAACAAGCAGAGAAGAATGCAGCCTGCACAATCAACTCAGCAGAAAGAGTCTGAGCTGAGGAACTCGAGAAGATGCCACATTATGCTAGAAGAATAGATAAGGCGAGGGAAAATGATACATTGAAGCATGTGGAGACAAGCACAACAAAGCACGTGCCGATTCATCCGCTACTTCTTCGAAAGCAAGAGTGTCTCATATCATTAGGGTTGCAATCACTCTGGGTGGAGGACTCGTTTTGACCCTCAAATTCTTGGGTCGACTCGCTAGGCGTTGTGGGCTACACGTGCCAAGTCACCACCCTTGAATCAAATCCTTAAAGATCAAGTCACCAACTGGAATAATAGCCCATCAATCTTGAAGATCATACCGTTGACCAAACTGCTCAGGTATGAATTAGAAATATTGAACAAAGCAACAAGTCGTCACCTTCACCTCGTGCCTGCTTGCCATGTGTTCGAGTCAACCTTCAAGAATCAAGCCTCAACGGCCCTTGAAGAAGCTTCCAGCCAAATTCAAGATCAAGCCTCGACGACCCTTGAGGAAATCACAAGTTCGATTCAAGATCAAGCGTCCACCACCCTTGAATCAAACCCAGTTCAAGAATAAGCTATGGAAAGTCAACAACTGGAGGAATCCAGAAAATCCTCCAACCCAGTTCAAGATCAAAGCTGTGGAAAGTCAACAAGTGCAACAAAATACGTGCCGATTCATCCACTACCAAAGCCAAGGATCATCTACCACATGAAGCTCCTTGTGGTCCAACTTCAACCTTCAAGATCAAGCCTCGACGGCCCTTAAAGAAATCTCAAGCCCAATTCAAGATCAAGCATCAACGGCCCTTAAAGAAATCTCTAGCCCAATTCAAGATCAAGCCTCGATGTCCCTTGGATCGACATCTACAGTAAGGGACTTCAAAAAACGCATCTCCTACACGTGACAAGCACATGTATACGACGTGCCTTGAAGTGGGGGCATTTGTAGACATCGAAATTTTGGTAAATAAATGTTGACCGATAAATCAAAGTTTCAACACTCATGTATTACATAAATTTTACACGTAGCGTGTGTCTAAACAAAAAATCAAAATAAGTTGGAAAAGTCATCAAACAGGACACGTGTCAACACCTGGCAGAAATGACTTATTTCATCTGGGATATTATAATCAAAATTAAGCCTTAGAAAATTCTATAAATAGAAGCTAATTTCATTCATTTAAAAGGACAAATTCATATTACACCTTGAAGCTCTGAAGCTCTGAAACTCCGAAGCTCTCAAGCATCCAAATCCCGAAGAATCAAGAAAGCCTTCTTCCTTCTTCGTTCTTCGTTCATCGTTCTTCCAAGATCAAGCCCCGACGGCCCTTGGATCAACAATCATCCACCTTCAAGATCAAGCCCCAACGGCCCTTTGAAGAACTTCCACCAATTCAAGATCAAGCCCCAAAGGCCCTTGAAGAACCTCCACCAATTCAAGATCAAGCCCCGACGGCCCTTGAAAAAAGTGTTCATCGTTCATCATCCGTTCGTCCCGAAGAATCAAGAAAGCCTTCTTCATTCTTCGTTCTTCGTTCATCGTTCTTCCAAGATCAAGCCCCGACGGCCCTTGGATCAACAATCATCCACCTTCAAGATCAAGCCCCGACGGCCCTTTGAAGAACTTCCACCAATTCAAGATCAAGCCCCAAAGGCCCTTGAAGAACTTCCACCAATTTAAGATCAAACCCCAAAAGCCCTTGAAGATCCTTTCATCACTGTTCTTCAAAGATCAAGCCCAAAAGCCCCTTGAAGATCTGTTCATCACCGTTATTCAGGATCAAGCCTCAACGGCCCTTGAAAAAACGCTCATCCTCAAGATCAAGCCCCAACGGCTCCTTGAAGATCCGCTCAAATCCACCTTCAAGATCAACCCCACGGCCCTTGAAGAACGTTCATCCTTAGATCAAGCCCAACGGCCCTTTGGATCAATCGCACATCCACAAATCAACACCTTACGGAGATCGAATCAGATGATCAAATTTAAGAGAGATTGTAACCCAAAATCATCAAATACAAATATTATTTTGTGCACGTTGTTCTTGTCTCTTTCGTTTCAGGAAATTTTCGTGTTCACAGAAAGCACATTAGCTTTTCTGATCTTACATTTATGCTTTTGTTGTTAATTTTGTATTGAATAAATTAAAGGAATGTCAAATAAATTGTTCGAAGAAATGTTAAAGAACCAATAGGAATGTGAAAATCATTATTCTAACTCTGTAAGAATATAAATATTATTGTCAGTGATTCATATGATAATGAGAAGAGAGCTTCAAATTTTGAACCTTTTAGTGTTCAGTTTATAAAATAGTCGGTGTTCAATTTAAAAAACAGCAATAGTGTTGGTGTTCGATTTTAAGAAATAGTCAGTGTTTAGTTTACAAAATAGTTAGTTTTTTATTTAAGAAATAGTCAGTGTTTAGTTTATGAAATAGTGATAGTACTAGTTTACAAAATAGTGATAATACTAGTGTTTGGTTTAAGAAATAACCAGTGCTTAGTTTACGAAATAGTGATAGTACTATTACTTGGTTTAATAAATAGTCTATTTAGTTTACGAAATAGTGATAGTACTAGTGTTAAGTTTAAGAAATAATTAGTGTTTAGTTTACAAGGTGTTCGGTTTAAGAAATAGTCAGCGTTTAGGTTACGAAATAGTAATAATACTAGTGTTCAGTTTAAGAAATAGTTAGTGTTCAGTTTACGAAATAGTCAGTGTTCAGTTTAAGAAGTAGTAATAGTATTAGTGTTTCGTTTAAGAAATAATCAGTGTTTAATTTAAGAAATATTATTCAGTTTAAGAAGTAGTCAATATTCAGTTTAAGAAATAGTGTTCGGTTTAAGAAGTAGTCAATGTTCAGTTTAAGAAATAGTGTTCAAATTTAAGAAGTAGTCAATGTTCTGTTTAAGAAATAGTGATAGTATTAGTGTTCATAAAACTGAATAATAATTTTTTTTCTTTATTTTTGATCTTGTAATATTATTACTTAGTTTGTTTTAAAGAAAAATTGAAAGAATAGTCAAATAAACAAGTAATAAAATAAAAATAAAAATAAAAAATAAATTATTTATGGAGTGGGGTGAAAGGAGAGAGAAGAGTGGGGAAAGGTGAAAAAAAAAGTTAAAGTGGATGGGTGAGGTGAAAGAAGAGAGAAATTTTGAAGGGAATATGTGAAAGAGAGAGAGAGAGAGAAAGAGGTTGAACGGTTGAGTGAGAGAGAGTGTGTGCATGTGTGTGATGTGATGCGTGGTTCCATGCGTCACTATTTGTTGATTTTTTTTTCATGTTACTATGTAAAACTTTTATCATTTTCATTAAAATTTGAATCCTATTTATTAAAGTTTAAGCCATTTTTATTAAATAAAGTTAGTATATGGTTTTTGGTTAATTAAAAATTTTGAGAAACCCTTTTTATTAAAGCTCCCTAATATATATCTTTTTCTTTTTCTTACCTACATGGAGAGTTTCACTTTTGAGAGATTCTTTTTAGCATTTCTCATAAATTAATGAGTAGAGAAATTTCTCAGTGTGCCCGAAACATAGGACGGGACACCACATATCATAATATAATTGGAGGGACATTTAAAAATAAAAAAAATAAATAAAAACTTTTCTCCAATTTTATAATAACATACGGTGTTCCATCTAGTGCTTTGAGCACATTGAAAAATTTCTCTAATGAGTAATGGGTTGGTTTAGTATTGATGTGTTTTGAAAAAAAACTGATTATGTTGTGCTGTGAGAATAAGCTCATTTTTTGCTGCTTCACGTTTTCAGCTTTTTTCACCCAAAACTGTGAAAATAAGCTGTTTTTAAGTGTTTACCAATCACCTTTTGAGCTCCGCTTTTTTTTATACCCACTTTTTATAAAAACACCTCAGTACCAAACCAATTCTAAGTAGACTAATTTTATAGACCAAATTTGTAAACTATGTTATGTGCATCAATAAGAAATAAGCACGTTAATCAATATTTAAATAGTAATTCAATTATCAATAACTACGTCACATGGGTTTCAGAATTTGGTCTAAATGGTATCTCTTTATCCCAAATTATATTTATTTCTTCTCCTGCCGCATTATATAATTTAATAATTTGATCATGATCTGTGCATATGCATGTGTGTGACTTTCCTGAGACCAGTAAAGAAAACCATTGGGATACTATAAATCATATTTAGGGCTTATTTTGAAGTGTTTTTTAAATTACGGGGAGCGTTTTTGATAAAATTGATATTGGGTTTCAAAAGCACTTCAGAAGAAGCACCGGTTATGTACTTCCTGTATGAAACACTTCAAGTGTTTTTTCAGGATCTACTTGAAATTTTATTAAAGATTAGCTTCAAAAACATTTTCACTAAAAGCGATTTCAATCATTTTCAATGTATTTCGAAAATAAGTTTATAAGAAGGTACCAAACTTTCAAACCTAACTTAATGGAAAAGCTCCACCCAAATAACAATTTATAGATTAGGGGCATTGATACCGAACTACTTTTCAAACAAAATTTTACACTACCTAACTTAATGGAGAAGCCCCTGCTGCACATAGAAGTCTATAAAATATAATTAAGGGCATTTATTTTCGATAACATAAATTAAGGTCATCCGTAATATAAAGCATATTTTATAAACTAAGGTCCCAAACTCTCATACCTAATTATATCTTCCTCTTAACTTAATGGAGAAGCCGCTGCTCCACACAGCCGGTGACGGTGACGTTGAGTTGAGCTATAAGCCACTTCTTTATGAAGGCACCAATGAAGACTATGCACCGGTGAGGAGCTTTGATGCACTACGGCGTATGTTTTGGATAGAGACAGTGAAGCTGTGGCAAATAGCCGGTTCTACTGTGATCACTATGGTGTGTATGTATGGAAATACCGCAGTTGTTGTGCTCTTTGCTGGTCATCTCGGAACTATTGAGCTCTCTGCCATCTCCATTTCGCTGACCGTCATCTCCATATTCTCTTTTGGAGTCATGGTAACTAACATTCCTTTCCTTCCTTAACATTCTTTTCCTTTCTTCACACTCTTTTCCTTTCTTCACATTCTTTTCCTTAACTCCTCTCATTGGGCACACGCATATATTCCCGCATTAAAAATTTGATTTGTTTAGCTATACTATTTGCCACTGTATAAGGCAGTAGCATTGCTCTCTCTGCTTAATTTAATTTATTTTTTCAAGAATATGTGTTTAACTGAGATCAAGTGACAACAAGCATCGGTGGTGGGGAAGGATAAGCATCTTGACAAAGGGTTTTGGTGACTTTTCGGGTCAACTAAATGTTCAGGGGTTAGGCATTTTTAGTGAGCACAAGGGTCAAATTATAAGCACATTGTACATTATTAATACAATTTTTATGAAATATAATCTAACTTGATGAAAAAAACATGTGAAGTCCATAGTGGTCAGGTGACCTCTGTGAGCCTATGATGGCACCGTCTATAGTCACTTTTCATATTATCAATTAATTTTATCATAGTGGAACTTCAACTTCATTCGTATCTAACATATTATATTGTCAAATTGTCCATCAAAATTATTGTACTAATCAGGTAGGTTTTGTTGAAACATATTGTACATATTGCTTGGAATAGAGAGTGCTCTAGAGTCCATGTGTTGTCAAATATTCTGATACATTTAAAATGTTATACTAGGATATGATATATATGTTATGTTGTGAGATGATCAATGTCCTGATTACGATGAATTGTAGCTTGGGATGGGGAGTGCTCTGGAGACCCTGTGTGGACAAGCATTTGGTGCTGGACAAGTTCATATGCTTGGGATCTACATGCAGCGCTCATGTATAATCCTATTTGTAACCAACATCTTCCTCTTGCCGACCTACATCTTTGCCACGCCGATTCTAAAGTGGTTGGGCCAAGAAGACGACATAGCTAATCTAGCCGGAAAATTCTCACTCCAAATAATCCCCCATCTGTTCTCACTTGCTGTAATTTTCCCAACTCAAAAGTTCCTCCAGTCTCAGAGGAAGGTGAAGGTGCTGGCATGGATTGCTGTTTTGGCTTTGATCGTAGAGATAGGAATGCTAGGGCTCTTCATCTATGTGTTCGATTGGGGCACAACGGGGGCAGCTGTGGCATTTAACGTCACGAGATGGGGGATGGCAATTACTCAAGTTGTGTATATTATGGGTTGGTGTAGGGAAGGTTGGACTGGATTTTCATGGCTGGCATTCAAGGAGATTTGGGCATTTGTAAGACTTTCCCTTGCCTCTGCTGTGATGCTCTGCCTGGAAATTTGGTACATGATGAGTATTATCATTCTCACAGGACATCTTTCTAATGCAGTTATAGCCGTTGGCTCTCTTTCCATCTGGTAATTTGGATCTTAAAACTCAACCTTTTTATGGAGAAGAATTTTTGTAGACCAAGTACTTTACTGTGACTATATTCCAGTTTAATAACGGGTTGTCATGTTGGAGAAATAAAACATAAGACAATTTCTTGCGCTATTAGTTTAGAGAATACTGACATAGTGACGTATTTACTGATTAAGTTTTTCGCCTTTTTATGGTACACAATAATTTAGCTTGTGATTATTTCTAACAGTATTCTCTCCTTTGTTTTTTTATTTTCCTCTTTTGGATTTTCTTAGCATGAACATCAATGGATGGGAAGGAATCTTGTTCGTTGGAATAAACGCCGCAATAAGGTGAAACATTGGACTAATAGTTCTCTGAATATTACCACGCGCTTCTTTGAAACATTTTTTGGTGATCCTTCTTTGAAATTATTTTTGGTGATAATAATAATTTGTTTTTTTTTATTTCGCAGTGTTCGTGTCTCTAATGAGCTTGGGTTAGGGCATCCCAGAGCAGCCAAATACTCTGTTTATGTGACAATATTTCAATCTCTTATACTTGGGATTTTTTTCATGGTTCTTATTTTAATAACTAGAGACTATTTCGCCATACTTTATACAAGTGACAAGGAGCTGCAACAAGCGGTCGCTAAACTAGCATACCTTCTTGGTATAACTATGTTGCTTAATAGTGTCCAACCAGTAATATCAGGTATTAATTTGAAAAGTCACTATGTTTATGCATATTCAAAAGCGTTGCGTGCATATTATGATGCCATGCTTTCTTTTTTGTGAAGGTGTTGCAATTGGAGGTGGATGGCAGTCAATGGTAGCTTATATAAACTTGGGTTGTTACTACATTTTTGGACTTCCTCTTGGATACCTTCTATGCCATGTTGCAAATTTGGGAGTCATGGTAAATTTATATACATTTTTTCTTTCAATGATGCCCAAGTTAATTTGGCAACTCTCACATGACTGTATGTAAATAGTATAATTTCCAAGTATTTGATGAGTTATTTGACTGATATTGTAGGGCCTTTGGGGAGGCATGATATGTGGAACCGCTCTCCAAACCATACTTCTGCTAATTATACTTTACAAAACCAACTGGAACACAGAGGTAATTAGTCAATAGCTCATTGCGAATCTCTCCAACTTTCGTTTCCGCATTTCATTGTTTATTCAATTGAAATCAAATTGCAGGTGGAGCAAGCAACAAATCGCGTCCGGAAGTGGGGTGGGCAAAACATGAAAACTGAGAATGTAGCTGAAATTATATAAATAAAAATTTCAGTTTAGTTGGGTTATGTAAATGTCCACTTTTTCCCGCAAGTAAATGATGAATTATGCGAAATTAACTCATCATTGTTCATTTAAAGGGTGCCGAAACACCCACAAACTTTAATTGCGACGGTGAAAGAGAGCATCACATCCCCTCATTCAGAGCATCGCCTCATTCAATGTTGTAACTTTTATATCAATTACTTTTTGTATGACCATAATTTTCTGGACCCAAGACAATCAGCACTTCAGGTGGCAAGAAAGACCAAAATGGCCATAGCACGTGATGTTTAGGCAAACAAGTTGAGAGGCTGATGTGGATTGGAACATGTTACATTTATAGGCATCTTAGTCATGTCGGACTAGAATTAGTCAAACAAAGTCAGAATATCAAGCGAAGCCAAACAACCTGGGCTTAAGCTCATTAAAGATATTACTTGTCTTTCAAATAAAGAAACCCAAATTAAAGTCATAGGATATCTTAGGGGATTAGGCAACATAATCAAGATTCTAGTAAGATTGGGTATGTCCCAATTTGATGAAAATTACTCTCCTAAAAGGACTCAAGATCCCTATAAATACACAAGCCTGGGTATTTATATTCTCTACAAGACTACCATAGATATCCACCTACATTCACATATTTCCCTCTACAAAACCACAATACACTTGTTCTCTTTATCCCTAACAAAGGTCCTCATGCTGTTGTCTAGGCATAGACACATTCATGAAGAACTCATCTCCTCACACCCAATCATAGGTCATTCGTCCAGAATGATTCACGCAATTCTTTCATAGAACTACACCCATTGTTTGATTCTCCTTCTCGAAGATATGAAGGGCAGTCCTTTCCGGATTCAACCACACCCCCAATCAATCCCATCTCAGCCGGTGATCATGGACAATTCCGACTTGATTCTTGCCTCCATCCATGGATGTCCGTGAATTTGGTTCCAACATTTTGAATGCAAATACCCTTACTGCTTTGTAAAAAGATAATGTCATGAATCAATTTGCTCATTTAATTTTACCACGATCAAGTTTAATCCAGAAAGATAACATCACATGCTATTTGGAGAGGCCTCCTTACAATCAGATAAACATTTGGATACTTCATCAATTTAAAAAATAAAATCCTCCCCAAAAGAAAATTGAACTTATTGGGACACTCCAAAATTATGATTACGTATGCCTCCCTAATGTGAAAAAATAAGTAAATGGTATTATTCTAGCAGAAATCATGATTAAATTGAATCTTTTATTAATCATTTTAGGTCTAAATATGAGTAATGTTAGACTTACTATATAATTGCATCACATTTTAATATCACGTGCATTATGTAATGTAATGTATTCAATTAATATTTAATGAAATAAAAATTTTAATTGGCATGAAATTTTATATTACTTATCATATCGTGTGGGGTTCATTACAAATAGACCCATACAACTCATATTTTATATATAAAAACCTACTTATATATTGTCACATCCCGGCTCGAACCCCAACCACATCCCGGGCTCGACTCCGTCGTAGCACGATATTGTCTGTTTTGGGTCTCGGCCACGTCCTCACAGTTTTGTTTCTGGGAACTCACACAAGAATTTCCCAATGGGTCACCAATCCTGGGAATGCTCTCGCACGAACTCGCTTAACTTCGGAGTTCCAATGGAATCCGAAGCCAGTGAGCTCCCAAAATTTCCCAATGGGTCACCCATCCTGGGAATGCTCTCGCACGAACTCACTTAACTTCGGAGTTCCAATGGAATCCGAAGCCAGTGAGCTCCCAAAATTTCCCAATGGGTCACCCATCCTGGGAATGCTCTCGCACGAACTCACTTAACTTCGGAGTTCCAATGGAATCCGAAGCCAGTGAGCTCCCAAAATACCTCGTACTAGGTAGAGATGAGAATATACATATAAGACTTAGAGGATGGGAATATACATATAAGGCTTAGATGATCCACTCCCCTAAACGATGTGGGATGTTACAATATAATCCAACAAAAACCAAAAATTCAAATGAACATATGTCACATCCCTACTATTACAATTTATATACAACATACATCCCTTCTAAACTGTTTCTCACCAGTACTTGAATTTTGGCTGCAATCAAAGCATTAAAAAACAAACTAATATTGGCAACGTTTTTTTAGTATTTGTTTTCTAATTTTTCAACAATCTAATGCATTTTCACACATAATAACTATATCATTTAGTATTGTTCAATAGGAATCGTTTTACATATAAATTCATTTACCTACTCCTTGTTATATATGTAAGTACGTAAACTAATTTACGTACCTACTCCTTATTATATATGTAAGTGTGAAAATTGTTTTTACAATATTCTAAGTAAGTAAAATAAAATATAAACTAATTTACTTATATTTGAAATTCTTACTTAGATATATTTCCATACAAAATTATTACAATATTTCATGGAAAATATCAAATGAAATACTTAGTATTTTTTTTTAATTTACCTATAATTATCAAAGAAAATAACACATAATTTTTTTCACAATAGATAAATAGATGTGGAAAACCAAGAGTAGCATGGGGTAGCTTGGTAAATAGTCTTAATACTAGCTTAAATTGTATGCCCTGCCCATATAGCATCAATACACCTTATACATTTATTTTTTTTTAATTTCCTAGAATCATCAATTCCCCGTTTCAGTTTCAATAGTTTGAAAAAATATTTCATGACATTAATTTACATAATATCCACATAATTAATGTAAATAACAAATAAGTAATTTGGGGTAATCTAGGCATCTACATATTGTGTAAAGTCAAATTTATCTAAGAAATTTACTTAGGTGGAGCCTAATCACTGAGTTTTAGTTAGAAAATTAAATTATGTGGGGTTTTAAGTAAATAAAATTGAATTTCAAGGGTTAAAGTCATATTTTCATTTTTATGTATTACCAAAAAAAGTGTAATATATAAATGTAGCGTGACTAACATATTTGCGTTAATTATTCTTTTCTTTAAAATATTAGATCAGGTAATGACTTTGTCATGGCAATCACTATTTCGGGAGATTTGAGTTAATTATTGGAGAGGATTTATATGTAATAAGTATTTATTAAGTTGTACGTGGTGTTTCTCTATTCGTTCAGGGCACTACGTCGATGGTGACTGGGGGTCCGGCGGCTGCTTACGGAGGTCACTATGTGGCTCATGGTCATTATCAGCACATGGGGTGCGGCACCATGGAAAGCACCACGGCAGGAGGTGGCAAGTTCAAGAAGTGGAAGTGATCATCCAGCTCTCGTATTTTCACAACAAAAAAGTATATTTACTGAGCTTTTAAGAATTTGAATAAAACAGGAAATTATGAATAAATTCCATGTCACTGAATTTTTTTAATGTAACTCATTAGAACATCTTCAATGGAGGCTTTATTCTCCATGAGGCTACCACATTTCTAGCCTTAGTGAGAAATTTGATCCCCAATGAGCTGGAAAATGGGGTTAGATCCACCACTGGGGCTAACAACTTCCTTTCTTGGGTAGCATAAAATCGGGCTACATCTAGCCCCAAAAAACAGTGGGTCCCACAAAAAAGTAGCAATCCATGTGAGCAAAATTTTAACACTCTCCCTCCACTTGCGAATACATTTATACTCTCCTTTTATCATTTTTTTTAATTCTTTTTTCTTACTTATTTTTCTTGCAATTTGGCTAATTAATGATTGTTTTAAATTCCATAAGAATTAAAATTTCAAATTGATTTAACGTTCATGGGTATTGATGGGTGAAATTTTCAAATAATTTTTTTCAAAATTGTATGATACTAATTTACCAATTGGTGCTAGGTAAATTCTTGTGTTATACATGAAAATCAAATTATTTCAAAGCGCGAAGTGAGGGTTTGTTTCTTTCAATGTATGAGATTGAGATAAGGGAATCTAATCCAACAAACGATTTATAAGTGATGAAATCTAACTTTGCCACAATTTGAACATTTTAGGTTGAAGGGTTCACAAAAAAAAAATTAAGATAGCACATTCAAAAATCAACTTAAGAAAAACTAACACAAAAAAAAAATCATCTCTTAATCAAATTACTACATAAATAAATACATATAGCCTCATATAGAGCCCGAAAGATATAGCCCCTCGTTAAGAGAGATTCTTTTATAAAACTCCAAAGATTACTCGGAACTCTAAAATGAGCTATATACACCACTTTTCCAGCCCCATATAAAACTTCTCATTGGGGATGCTCTTACTAAAGAGCTGCCTGAGTTTCATCATTTCTTAAATATATGAGTTCATTGGGTTGTGTTCTAATTGTTTGGGTTGAATTTGGTATCAACATGAAAAGAAAATCAGTATGTTAATCCAAATTCAAGCATCAATTCATTAGTCCTTTAAAAATCTCCAAGAAAAATAATATAAATACATTTTATTGTAATTTGTTGACAAGTGTTAATAATAGTGAGAAATGTTCACGTGGATTGGAGTCATTTGTCAACTCTCCTCACTTATGCATTGAAGTCATTTTTCCGACAAATTATAGGTTTGATGAGTAAATATATAAGAAAAAAGTAGAGTGATATATGTGTTTTGGATAACGATATTCTCTTTTTGCACGTTTTTTAATTTTCTTATTTCTTTTTTCTCTTGATTTTCTCTTTATTCAATATTTAACATAAGAAAGTAAGTAATTTGCTAGTGTACTTGAAATACGTTCACGTTAAGTTATTATTTCACTTAAATTATAATAAATATTTTATTAATAAATTTAAAAATTAACATATTAATACATAAAATAATACATCTTGTGATTTGCGTTTCAGTTCTAGTACCTATAAAAAATTAGTAAAAATCAAGTTCATTGTGGTTTTTGTAAGTGGGTGATTTGACAAAATTATTGCGTACCCTTCTACTTGAGCCAACTGAGCACGAAATTTGGGCCGTTGAAATTTGATTCAAAGATTAAATACATAAAGTCCAATTAAAAGTTATAATAATTTTAACCGTTTGATCAAATTTTTAATAGTCCGAATATTTTTTCAGTTGGCTAAAGTGAAAGGAACGAGGAGAGAATCACTTTCTTATGTAGAG